CAAGAGAAAGAGAAACAGAGAGAGACAGAGAGAGAATTGTGATGTTCCCCTCAGAAAGAAGCAATAGGTGTTAGAGCTAGTAGATCTGCCAGTTAACCTGTAATTTCCACATATTATTTATAGATGTTTATTATCATATCCCATAAATGTACATATTTACTTTGTTAATTTAAAAAAAATACACTTGTACCCATGGGTAAGTGGGCAGAACTGGTGTTTTAGGGTTTCAGTTGCTGTGAAGAGACACCATGACCACAGCAACTTTTATAAAGGAAAACATTCAATTTGAGTGGCTTACAGTTCAGAGGTTCAGTCCATTATCATCATGGTGGGACATGGCGGCGTGCAGGCAGACGTGGTGCTGGAGAAAGCTAAGAGTCCTACATGAGGAAGGTAATAGGAAGTGGTCTGAGGCACTTGGCATGACTTGAGCATATATGAGACTTCAAAGCCAGCCTCCACAATGACATATTTCCTCCAAACAAAACCACACCTATTCCAACCTCCTAGTACTGCCGCTCCCTTTGGGAGTCATTTTCTTTCTAACCACCACATTGGTGATCACACAGAACCCCACTATCAGGAGAATCCCACATTTGTTTTAATACCCTGATCTTGCCATCTTGAATTTTTCAGTTCTCTGTGTGTGTGTGTGTGTACGTGTACATGCATGTTTGTATGTATATATGTACATGTGTTCATGTTGAAACCAGAAGTCAATGCCTGGTTTCATCCTCAACTGCTTTCCATCTTTCTTGCTTTTTTATTTCTGTTTTACGTATATGGATGTTTTACTTACATCTTTATCTGCATATTGAAAGTGGGTGGCAGATCCTCTGGACTGGAGTTACAGACCTTTGAGAACCTCAGTGTGGGTGCTAGGACTCGCTCAAACCTGAGTCCTCTGGAAGAGTAGTCATTGCTCCTAACTGCTGGGCCATCTCTCCAGCCCCTCCATCTTATTTTTTGAGGCTGGGTATCTCACGGAAACTCAGCGATTTGACTGACCAGCCAGGCCCCTTAGATCTTCCTGTCCCTACCTCCCCAGCTCTGGGATGACAGATTCGCACTGCAGTGCTGGCTCTTCCACACGGATGCTGAGGACCAGACTCAGACCCTCAGACTTTTGTGGCAAGAACTTTACTGATGGAGCCATTTGCCCAGCCCCAAGTTTCCAATCTTTAAACGAGGGGTGCTGTGGTTATATTTTGCACTTGGCTCTGAAGTTATAAAGCCGGTTCTGCCTACAATTGCCTGATGCTGTGTGCAGTACTGGAATTATAACACTGCTTCCGTCAGGCATGATTGTTATAAGAACTTACAGGCTAGCATGGGAGATAGACGGGGTTACACATGTGATCTCTTTTGTACAGAGGCACATTGCCGGCAATAAGAAAATGGAAAAGAGTCTTGCCTAGCCTTAGGGCAAAAAGCAAGGAAACGAAATTACCTGTGGGGTAAGGGCAGTCCCTAGAGTCAGGAGAGATGTAAAAAAAAAAAATGAAACTAGAAAGAGGAGGGCCTAAGAGCCAAGGTTGGGATCAGATGCTACCAGGGCTTTCAGAACAGTGACATGTCCTGTAGAGATCCTGTAGAACAGTGGTTCTCAACCTTCCTAAGGTTGTGACCCTCTAACACAGCTCCTCATGTTGTGGTGACCTCCAACCAAAAAATTATTTTGTTGCTGCTTCATAACCATAATTTTGCGACTGTTAGGAATCTTCATGTGATATCTGATATGTGCCCACCCCAAAAGGGGTCACGACCTTCAGGTTGGGGACCACTGCTGTAGATGTGTTGGCAGTGGCTGGATGGACAGGGAGTGTAGACGTAAATTCAGCACTGTTTGAGAGAACAGCGGGAAGGAGGAAGTAGAGACCTTGAGACTAGTCGCCATTAAATGCAGAAACTATGGTTCAGTAGAAGAGGGCAGTCTCAGGTCAGCTTCGGACTGACAGAACGTTGTTTGGTTGGCTTTGAGTTGATTTTGTGTGGTTTTTCAGCACTCTTTTGAGCATGGTTTTACACTGTGGAAAGATAATCAAAATCTAGGAATGGAGATAGTGATGTTGGCGGGGTGGGGGTGGCGGGGCAGAGACAGGACTGAGGCGGTCCATCACGGGCAGACTAGCCACGGAACTGAAGAAAACATGCTAGTGGGAGCTGGCGAATTTCCCATTGGAGGACTCTCTTATCTGCAATGTCAAGTCTATTGATACTTCACTGAACAGCAGCTACCTGCTGGTCCTCTCTCGTCTCCCTGACCAAGGAAACTCCTGGGACTTCCTTCACTTGCTTTTTAAGTCAACAAATAGTCACGAGGTACCCGCTATGTGGCCGGCACCGTGGTCAGTTTAGAATAAGAGAGAACAAGATGGACTAGACCCTGATCTCCTGAGATTTAGGTTCTGAGTCCCTAACCTGGGAAGTCACACTGGCTCCTCCCAGGATGCAGGTAAGGGAGATACACTGATGGCACCAGACCTTCCCCTCTGGGGAATCTCTGACACCCAAACATATCCTACTGTTCCTTATCTCCTATTGTTCGTTACCTTTTCCTCTCGTATCTGACTCTCTTAGTACCACAATCAGTTGAATCTGGGGCTCAGGTGGAAAAGAGAAGTTAGTCAGAGTAACAAAATTAAGCAACATTTGGAAAACGCAAGCTGAGGGAGGCATCGCATAGCATCTTTCACGCCGACCTCCAGGACCCCAGGCTCTGCTGGCTGCTTTGAGATGAGGCCCTAAGCTGTGCTGCCTGACCCACTTCCACCCACCATGGTCTCCAAATTTCTCTACCCTCCGTCAGATCCCTTGCTCATTATGGTAGCTGTTTCCCTCAATAAGTAAGATTAAGATAAAGTGTGCACAGTAATGTATAGTCAGTTGTAAATGGTGGAGGGGTTGAGTGCATTTAAAATGATTGCTAGTTTTTGCTAAGAAGAAATTGTTATCACATTTTAGGTAGTAAGGAAAATGATAAAAAAAAATTTAAAAAAATGGAGAGATCTTCCCAGAATTAGCTTCCCTGACTTTTCTTATTTCCCTATTTTTTTCTAGAGTCATAAATTCTCTAAGAAGTCCAATATTTTTGTTGTCCCAAGCTGTACCCCTCTACCAGTTCCTACAATGGTAGCCAGCGGGACACAGGTGGCAAGAAATAAAGGATGGGGGTCATGGTCCATAAAGCCACTCATGATGATTGTTTTGGAGACAGAGAGTGACTCCCCAAGGGCATCTTGGTTGAAGAAGTCTGCAAGGTATTCTCTAGAGCTCAGCAAGATGCTTGTCAGACTCCTGGATCTTCACTCAGAACCATGCCAGAAAGTCTGGGGATGTGGTCCAGGGGTAGAGCCTGCCTAGCACATACAAGGCCCTGAGTTCAACCCCCAGTACCATAGTATAAAATGACCTTCGTCAGGTCTGAGGTCTCTCTGGCCCCCATGAGTGCCATGGAGCTGTGAGGTTGGTACAAAATGCAATTCCCCAAAGCCACTTTTATTTGTCATAAAAGCAGCCACTTTCAGCCACCGCCACCCACTAATAAGGGACTGTGGAGAACCAGAACCGCTTTGGTGAGTTGGGATTATGTATGTCCCATGATAGAGTGGTTGCCGACTTCTTATGAGGCTTCGGTTCCTTTAACAGCGAAAGGTCTAAGCACAGGGGACAAGAAACACCAAAGACCCAGGAAAGGCATTGCCCACTTATTGGTCCTACAACCTTGCTTTAGACATCTGCTTTGGGGGGGGGGGGGCTGCTCTCCCTAGTACTTGAGTGGGTGGTAGTTCTTGGGCAAACTTTTTGGAATGTATGAATTTTATGAACCTTAAGATGGTAAGAGCAACTCTTTTTAGACCCCAGGATATAAACCTAGAAACTCTAGTCTAGGCCAGAAGTGCCTAGCTCCTAACGTGTTTATGAACCGCTTGGGAATCTAGTTACCATGACAGTTCTGATAAGAAGCCTGGAATAGAACCTGGGACTCTGCATTTCCTCCGTGCTCCCAAGGGAGATCAGTGCTGCTGCTCACTGGTCCCTGGAGTTCCCAAGAGTCCGGCTTTGCACCGCCTGGTACCTTAGATACTAGCCCCATCAGACTTCTCAAGTTAAATGGCAGTATAAATGTGGTTCCCATTGGAGCACTGGTCCGAGCTCCCAAGACCCAGATGAAGAGCAGAAGGAGGGAGAACATGCGCGAGGAAGTCAGGACTGCGAGGGGTGCGCCCACCCACGGAGACGGTGGGACTGATCTAATGGGAGCTCACCAAGGCCAGCTGGACTGGGAGTGATGGAGCATGTGATCAAACCGGACTCTCTAAATGTGGCTGTCAATGAGGGCTGACTGAGAAGCCAATGATAATGACACCAGATTTTGATTCTACTGCTTGTACTGACTTTTTGGGAACCTAGTCTGTTTGGATGCACACCTTCCTAGACCTTGGACTTTCCATAGGGCAGGGCACCCTGACTTCTCTTAGGACTGGTTAGGGAGGGGGGGGTGGGAGGGAAATGGGAGAATGGGAGGAGGTGGAAATTTTTAATAATTAAATAAATAAAAATGTAGTTCCCAGGCTGCAGGTTAGCCACAGGTCAAATGCCTGGCACACGCGTTGGGTTGGGAGCAGCTGAGTTGTATCACGGAGAGAGCACTACTGTGTTCGCACAAGGTTCAACTGGACAAACTGGGTCAGAGTGACAGTTATTACAACACTCGTTTGTTTATTCATTCGTCTGTTTAATCCTTCAACATTTGCTATGTGTAGAGTTGGATGCTTATTGCCAGGGCATTAAGGCAATGGGTCCAGGTAGCAGCAAAAGAAATGTCATCCTTTGCTAACTATAGAACTCAGTACTTTGGAACAGAGATGCCCCCAACATGGCAAGGGATCCAGAGATGGTGTTAGTGAACCCGCTGGGCAGGTGGGTGGCAGGAGGCATCTTGCCTGGTTTGTCAGTGGCTCTCACGGAGGCTTGGTGCATTATTTTTCCCGTTCCAGGGCCATAATCATCAGAAATGGAGAAGTCATCCCCATGTCTTCGGAATTCACCCCTGAGACCGAGCGGCAGCGACTTCAGTACCTGGTAAGAGTCACGTGGTCTGGCAGAGGGTAGTGATGGTGGGGGTGGTGTCAGAGCTGTTTGACAGGGACACACTTCTGTGACAGGAGAGCAGCCCCACCACAGCCAAACGACATATGGTATTAACTCCCCCCCCCCCCCCCCTCTGGGATCACACATCCTGGCTGTGTGTGACGACACACCCCACCTCCGGGAACTATTATTGCAGCTAACTTGACTCCCATCTGCAGCCCTCTACACTCAGTATGCTCTGCTTCTTCCAGTGGGGTCACCGTGCAGAACCCAGGGGTCATTCTGAGAAGTGCAGAGCCTCCTTCCTTGGCCAGCAACTCAGATGAGCTCCTGCAGGTCTCACCGTCAGTCCCGTTACCAGAAGGAGCCTCTTCCCATAGCAGCTGAAATCCCCATGACATGCCACACAACTTCACACTCAAACAGGCAGGCTCAGGACCCTTGGGTACGATGCAGGTGTCAGAAAACCTGTTTCTACATTGAAATGAACTCTGCCTGTAGACGATCCTCTTGGGGGTGAAATAGTGGGAGGTCTTAGAAGACCTATGCTCCCCTTCAAAATCAAAGTGTTATGAAAAGCAGAGTGAAAATCCCTTCCTGGTCCTCGAACTCCAGAAACAAGATGTTGGGCATCAAAGTAAGTCTTAGATAAAAGTAACTTTGGGCCATCCCAAGTCCCTGGCTACTTTGGGGGCTAAAGTCTCTGGGAACCAGCACAGTGGGTAGAGATCTGTGGAGAAAAATGTTTTCCTGCGAGATAAGAAAACTGCAGTTAGTGCCCCCGCCCTTCAGCTCTATGAACAGACTGATCTGGGCTGCTCACAGTTTTCCCTATGTGTCTTAGCAATGTAGATAGTTGTGGGGGGCAAGGAGGGGGTACCGAGCATTTCATTATTTTATAGCGTGTGTGCGTGTGTGTGTGTGTGTGTGTGTGTGTGTGTGTATGAGCACACTTGATTCAAAGGACAACTTGTAAGAGTCAGTTTTATCTTCCTAGCATGTGGGTTCCAGAGATTGGACCCAGGTCATCTAGGTTGGCAGCAAGTGCCTTTACTGCTGTACCATGGCTGGCAAGATTAAATTCCTGTGGCTGATTTAGAAAGTAGCCCTGTCCCTTCACTCAATTCCCCAGGGATTGATTTAGGCTCTAACTCTACAACATCACTGTTACTATTGACAAGGCATATGTAATAGCAGGAATCCCAGACTAGCATAAAATATGTGATTTATCTTCTGCCCAGTTTGTGTTTTATTTGGTTGGTTGTTTTAAGAGGTTGTCAAGACAGCTCAGGCCAGCCACAGGCTTGCATTATCCCCTATCCCCAGTACCTTCAACTCCGTATTCGTTGCCAGTCTTGTTTTTATACCACAACACTCCAACAAAAGCAACTCAGTGAAGCAAGGGTTTTGTCTTGACTCACAGTTCCAGCGGGCAGTGCATCATAGTGAGGAAGTCCCAGGGGCAGGAGCTTGCTCCACAGTCAGGGAGCAGAGGGAGGTGATTGGTAGAGCTCTGGTCTCTTTCTACATTTTATTCTGTCCATCAATAAAAGAATGTCTTCCTACTCAGCCAGCCTAATCTACTAAATTCCTCACACACACGCACACGCCCATTGGTTTGTCTCCAAGTGATTCTAAATCCCATCAAGTTGACAGAGTAACCATCACAGCCTCTCTCCAAGAACTGGGACAGGAGGTGTAACCCTGATTTCTAATGTTGCCGTCCTGCATTTGTGGTAGAATGTTCTTGAAACTACCAGTGATGGAGCTCAACTTTTTCTTTTTCTTTGGTTCTCTGAGAAAGTGTAGATGCTTGACTCGAGTCCCAGCTTTGCTAGTCCCTAACTGGATGGCTTTGTCCAGGTCTCCTGACCTTTCTAGACCTTGATAAGTCAACTGTGAAATGTAGCACTCAACAGGAGGGTCACCAAAGGCCTCTGAGATACAAAAGTCATTCCCAGGCCAGTTTATACCAGCTGGCCTCTCTGACACCTGTGTGGCTCTTCTGTCACCCAAGGCCATGAAATGATCTCAGCATAGACCTTGTCATTTTCACCTAAAGCTCTGAGGTACCTTCCGTGCAGAGAACGCAGCCAGACTTGCTGGCCAATTCAAATCCCCATCTGGTTCCCCAACACCATCTTCCTGTGGCTACTACCTCCCATACCCCACCTCCCCAACCCACTTCAGCCAGATCACTACCTAGCCGCGTCAACTCATGCCAGCCACCATCTCTCTGACCTACAACCCTTTGGAAATTTACTCTGTTTAGATTTCTTTCTGTCTCTGCCAGAAGAATGCCCCCTCATCCTTTGAGATGCCAGCTCAAGAGATACTTCCCTTCTGGGAAGTATCCTCTTCCTCCCAGGGAGTCAACCCCCAGTGATGGTATGGAGGTATATAGAGGCCTGCAATGTGGCTTTCAGGGTGTTTGTTTGTTTGTTTGTTTGTTTGCCCCCCCCCCCGGATGTCTAGCTTCCTCTCCAGATTGAGTTCTCAAAGGCTCAGCTCTTACCTTAATCACCTCACTGCTGAATTCAACCTAGCGGCTGCTGGCACAATGCAGGCTTGGAGTGGGTGTGAATGAAAGAATGCTGCTGGGTCAGCTTTCCACTGCCCTCCTGTGCATATACCAGCAGAGTAGGAGGCATTTGTGTCTGTCCCTCCATAGCCCCACACTGAAATCCACTTCCTGCTGGAGGCAATGGATAATAAAAAGTTAATTTCTTGTGCTTTTCAATGTTTAAGTAATATGTTTTCCTTGTTAAAAAAGGACATGGGTGCTCAATTCTAAGAGAGGCTAGAACGGCTGAAGTTATCTGGGGAGTGGGGAGAAGATGCATGTGGCTCTGTGTGGTTTCCACAAGTCACGCCATTGATCGCAAATCATCAGTTACGGGGATAGGAAAACTCAGAAGGCCTTGTAGGGATTAAGCAAAATGATGTACACAGAGTTCCTTTGTGTTACCCAGTTCTCATTTAGCTCTTGTTTGATGAATTGAAGTCTTGCTCCTTCAAATATGCCTTCGTCTATCTTGGTCATTAAGACAAAATGCCATCAAATAGCTGGTTTATAAACAACAGAAATGTATTTCTCACATGCTGGAGGCTGTGAAGTCTGGAATAAAGGCCCTGGAAGTTTCAGTGTTTAGCAAAGGCTCCCATCCTGCTTCATAGAAAGGCATTTTTTTCCTTCTTCATATGACAAAGATGTTCTTGGAAGCCTCCTTGTCCCATCCTTGAGCTGTAATCACGCCCACACACATGGCCTTACCTTCCAGATATCATCACAGAAGGATTTGGCTCCAACATATGAAATTTGAAGGTTTATAAAAATTCATTCTAAAGCAAAATCCTGCCGGCCTGAGATCTATTTTGCCCTGCTTTACTTAGCACCCACTTCTGATGTTGCTAAGATGAAGGGATATTTTGGAGTCTGCCTTGACCAATCAGTGTGGATTCTATTAGTCTGCAAAGTAGGGCCAAATGCTCAGTTTCTAAAAGATGAGGACACCATCTTCTTAATCCTTCAGCAGGTAGATAGGAGGAGTGAACACAAACCGAATCTAAACCACCCTGGTAGCCCAGTCTCTTATCCCTTCAAGTTTAGAAACACATGCTCAGAAATGACTTTCTCTGGCCAGAATAATCACACAGTGTGACTGTTTGTAGGGAAGCAATTTAGGTTAAAATATTCAGAATGTAACATGAAATCTTCATGACAAAATGTTTGTTAGAATAGGAGGTCATTAATGTAAAGTTTTGAAAATAGGATCAAGTATAAGAGGTAAGTCGCCTGAGTGTGGAGTGGACTGTATTAGTCCGGCCCAGGAATGACCTGTGTTACCTCAGTCCTCCATCGTAACTTGTTCAGAAATGGCAACAAAAAGCGACCCCCTTGGCAATATAAACCGTGGACCTTCTTCTTCATCTTACGACGTGGCTCTGCCCACTTACAAACTCCTCACAGTTCAATACACCTCAGTCAAAATGCAGCCAATATATCTAATTTTCCAAACAGTGTAGCTAAGCCTGGCCCAACTTCAACATGCCCGGTGCATGCACACTGGCTCACAGTATAGGGAAGCCATACTGAGCCAGCTGAGCCAGCAAGCTGAGCGAGGTGGCACACGTCTGTAATCCCAGCACTCAGGAGGCAGAGGCAGGAGAATCCCTGTAAACCAAGGCCAATCTGGGCTACCTAGTCAGGCTCTGTCTCAAAAAACAATAAACACTTAAGTCATCAGCAGTCTGATTTGTGATATAATAAAGTGCTGGCTATCTTACTAATTTTATTGTGTGCGCTACTAAAAGTAAAAGTGGAGCTGTTTGTTATATAGGTACACTTTATGCTATCATGGAGTCAAAAAAAATCATTAAATCCAACCATTGTCACCCAGGGACCATCTGTGCGTGAACCGTCTTATGGTTTTAATTGCAAGCGCTTCTCCTGATTTTTTGACCATCCATTCCCCTGATCTAATTAAGAACGGTTGGCACAATGATGGTTGGAGTATCCTTTTCCCTCGCATGATCTCACCCAGTGATGGAAGATCAGGCATCTTCTTTATTCTTAGGGCAAATCGAATTTTATGTTCATATTGTGTGAAGAGATATTTATGATAGAATTAGCAGACCATCTAGGCCCTTGGCTACTTGCTTGGGGTAGCTGTCTGCAGTCCCCAGGCTCTCTGGCCGAGAGAAATAGATAATGAGCTGTTGAGAGTAGGGAGGGTGGCCAGGGCCCTTTGTGGTCTGCAGTGGAGGAAGATG